AGCTGTAGGCTGGCAGCAGTGGGGTAGGCAGGAGCCAGGGGATAGTCTGCTCCCGGAGTCCCCGAGCAGCTTGCGGCTGTGCTTGGCCCTCAGTGGGCCAGCCACGTGCCTGCCTGCCCTGAATCTGGCTCTGCTCAGAGGCCAGTTCTCAAAGGAGAGAAAACACATTAGACAAGGAAGAATGACTGTCATAGTCAAGCTATCCCTCTAGGTCCAGTACAAGGGGAAGAAATAATCCCCCTCTCTCTCCCACTTCCTATTTTCTACCCCACCTCCTCTATTGGAGTCTAAACTTGTAATTTAGATATTAAAATTGTGTTAATGAATGAAAGAACTCTGTCTATAGACTTGCCAAAAGTTAAGTGATCCAAAAAGTATTTCTATTTAGAGTATATTCAAACATTACACGCACACACACACACACATGAGTGTGTGTGTGTGTGTGTGTGTGCAATGTGTACCAAACTATGTTGAATTATCCACATTTTCAAATATACATGGACATAGCAGACATTTATTTTATTTTAATATGCATGCATTTGCATATGAGTCTACACAGAAACACAATGTAAAATTAAGAACACTTGAGCTGACATTGAGAAACAAGTTTCATATGAAATATTCTCAACAATCCTCAGCGTAGATGGGAGATAATTTCTTCAGTGTTGTAGTCACCAGCAAGTCACCCATGCTTCAATAAGTAATGCCTAAGCCATGTGTGTGACTGAGCTAGGGGTCACACAAAAAAGAGACAAGATAATAGAAGGGCCATACTCAGGAAGAAGTCCTGCTGGTTCTCATTCCACTGGGATGAGAGAAAGTAATAGAGGATGAACATGTCTGAAATATATTCTATACACTTGTGAAATTGTCAATAAAATAAATAACCCAAAGCTAATACTCAGCACAGAATATGGATATGGCTAGCTCAGAAATAACCGTATTTGCAATAAAGTAAATAATTCAGTCAACTTCATTCTGTTTTTTCCAACTTAGGGCAGGAAACAGAGCAGTTTCTTAATTATAGAAATAATATAACTTTTCTATTTGGCCTTTTAGAAATCTATTTTAGCTAACTGGAGACTAAGAATAAGTTTGTTGCCAATGAAATCATTTTCCTAAGTGACAAAAAATTAAAAAACACACCACATCTTTAAGATAGCTGATCAACAATTGTAAAACCACATAATGGCATTTAACTATCACCTCGAGTTTAACATGAAGTTCATAATTTGTTTATAAGCTTCTATTCCATCATTCATTCTTTCCTTTCCAAAAATATATAAATGTATTCTCCTGTCAGGGAGAAAAGAAGCATAAGATATTAATAGAATTATTAATATATTTAGCTAAAAGAAACATCAGGTGTCTAAAATCTAAAACATCTTACTTTGTAGGTAAGATAATGGAAGTTTAGAAAGTTTATTGAGCAGCACACTTACCTAATCCCTGCCCTGGGATCCAGGACATATGTAGACAGACTAGGAAAGAAGAGTCATGTTCTAATATTTATCTACTTATTTACTGGTAAGTTTCTACAAAATGGAACCTACTTCAATGGCTTATTTTGTTTTCTTTTTAGAAATTGACAAAATACTAAAAGAGATTTGTAGTAGCTTTTTGCTGTGATTTGGCCTTAGATGACATAGTGAAAAAAAAGAATTTTCTTACTTCACAGTATGTAGACTTAGCATCAACAACTTAACTTTTTGACTTTTTGTGGTAACATGCCAATTAAACAATTTTAATTGTTTTAAACAATTAAAACAATTTCTTCTTTTTTTCTTCAAAGTTTAGCTATTGTTTTTGTTGTTGTTTATTGTTTTTGTTTTTTTCAAGACAGGGTTTTTCTGTGTAGCTCTTGCTGCCCTGGAACTCACTCTGTAGACCAGCCTGGCTTCAAACTCACTGAGATCCACCTGCCTCAGCCTTCTGAGTGCTGGAATTAAAGGCATACACCAACACAAGTGTGTATCATCACACTTAGCTATTGTTTCTTAAAATTGCCTTTGATTCACATTTAGTAAGCCATTAGCTTACATATAGACACACCCAAACTGTGTATTATGACAGTCAGGATGGGGGCTTTTCATTATAATCATCTGTTTCCCTTGGTCCCCTGTGCCTACCCATAACATTGCTCAGAATTTCTTTTGCTTTGTATTGTTGTTGTAATTTATTTTAGCAATTTTAGAAAAACAAAGTAGACTTTTCAAGCTTACTTAATTTAATCAAGGTTATTCTCCCTGTAAGTCATCCAAAATTGTCATATCAATACCCTAACTTCATCCCAGGAAGTATATTTTACTTAACTACAAATAAAGTATGAATTAACTAATCTAAGACAAATATATAAAAGAAAATAAGCTCATAATCTGTTTTATCTATATACTAGTTAACATGTGAATAAGAAAAGACCCCAAGTATCTCTGTCAAATACTGTGTATAATATTTGATCTGCATGCCTCATACTGCTACTAATAATGTATAAAAAGGCTGTGCCTATTAGACCATCTATAGTCCGTCATCAGTGTATACTCCAGTATTGGTCTCTGTATCCCCTGCAATGGGTTTACTTCCTAGCTCAGAGATATTTCTTAATAACAACTTAAAAAACAGAATCAAAATCTAGTATTACTACACATTTTTGAGGTAATGATATACTGTTGTACATCATTGTAGGCCAGATTAGAGCAAAAAGCTACAACAAGTTTCCTTTTATCTGTAAATCAATTTCTCTAAAGTAAGCAAAATTCAAATGTCCTATTTCCTAAATTCAGAAAGTTTTCTTTTGGATATGTCTATTTAAAAGTACTGACTAGTTAGAAACAGCAAATTCCAGTGTTTGGGTCCTGTACAGTCCTAAATTTTGAGGCTGGTTCTAGTTGCCAATACCATATAAATTTAAAGGACCTGCCCTTCCCTTGTTCTCAGTGACCTCAGCTATTTTTAGCCTATTGTCAATAACAACAATAAAAGGAAAAGCAGAGAGGTAGTTCCCTCATGTCTAAACCTGATCAAAATAATCTTCTGGCATTATTATCAGTTTTAATCATCACATCCACTCTCTGGCCTAGCTGAGATAGAGATGTTAATCAACTTGTTTAGAACTACATATCCAGTGAGCTTCAGATCTAAGTCCTGTCTGATTTGACACTCTTAAACTAAAAGAACTCTGTGGACTCCCTATGTTTGAAGCAATCACCATTTGAACTCCTCAGACATGTATCAGAGACAAGTTAACATTAATATATGGAAAGATAAATGAATAATAACAAATGGTGGCAATCATCTCTTACTAAATATGTGCTAAGTACTTTGGATATAGAATCTCAATTAATTCATCGACATAACCCATGAAGATGGTACAGTTAGCATTTCCATAATCTTTATAAGGAAGGTGGATGTGAAGCTGTGAGGTTAGCCGGTTGAACAAAGCCGGTTGCTCATCCAGTAAATTGCCTAGCTGAGGTACTATTATAATGTAACCACTACACCACACTATCCTTCAATCACACAGGCTGAAGGAGCTAAGTTTGAACATTTGACACTTCTATGCTGATATATTTTATTTTTATATCTCTGATTTTCTAGTAAAACATCTTTCTTATATCATAAATTGTGCAAAATGAAATCATGAAATGGATGCAACCACTAAGAAAGGGAGGGTGCTTTCAAGCAGCAATAAATTAACCTAGGATCTTCCCATCGTCTTCATAGCCTACACAGTCCACATCCCATAAAAAGTTCATGTTTTGTCAAGACAGAGAATCTCCCTCTCGAAGATCCCGTTGTGGATGTGGTAATTGGTCAGACTGGGATGTAGCATGACCAAAGGTAACTTTTGGCTTGTCAAACAGCAACTTTGTTTCAGGCTCCACCATTAACAAGCAATGAAAACTTGATCAGATCATTTTTCCTTAGGTGCCTTATCTGTAAAATGAGAGCAATGAGTATTACTTTTGGGAGATGACTTTAGGATCAAATGAATAAATATATACAAATAACTTAAAACCTGACACTACATGATAAGCATCGCATACCTGAGACATGTTGTTGTCTCCTTGGAGTAATGACAAAATAAAGAGACTCTTAGTAACTGCCAATTGACATATCATTCAGTATTGCAACCTAAATTCTTTAGCTTAGTTTCATGAATTATAGTATTTTATTGTTTAATGATAGCCAGTTATAACATCATAGTAAAAATATTTTAAATGTAAAAAAAATCTGGAGATGTGTGCTTAAATATTAAGTCGACACACAACTATTTGTTACACTGACATTTGTAGAAAAAGGGAGGAGATAATATATCAATGTTTGTGATAAATGTACCAAATATTTGCTTCTGCTTATATAAAAGACCTCTGGTAACTATTAACTAAATGTATTTGAAACAATTGTGTCTATGTGGAGACCAGGAACAGCAAACCAAAGATAGGTCGGAAGATGACTTTCCTTTGTACATTTTGTTTCATCAATATTTAAACTCAAGTCTTTCCTTTGTTAACCAACTTTATTTATATCCATAATCATCATTAGGTCTTTTTAATTTAAGAGGGACCCTTGGGAAAATATTATCAAGAGAAGACTAAAAAAAAATCTGACGATATTAAAAGGCAATTGCCAAAAAACATGCTTCATATTTTTTCAAAAGTTGGCAAGCTCACTTAAATTGAGGATACTAGTCCATCCTTCTATGGCCCAACCTCTGTGGCTGAACTAATACCATAACTGCAAATTTTATAGTTTACTGTATGAGTGATGGAGATGCTTAGCTACTAAATTGTGACCATTCAGGTCTTCTGGAAAGATTACCTGAGAAAAGAAATGTGTAAACCATCTGCTCTGGCTGAAATCACTTTGCTAGCTGCTCGCCAAACATAAATGCAAAGACTGAATGAAAACTTCAAAGAGTAACACAGCCAAGAAAAACACAATGTGTAATAATACCCAAAGCTTTATTGCTACTTTTAAAAAAAGGAGATAAAACAGTCATTTCTTTTAAACAATTACTTCCTTTTACCTGAAAATGTTTCCAGAAGAATGGACATTATTTAAAGAATGAATTTTTTCCAAGCATGGTACAAGACTAAATTTGTATCCAATTATAAAATCTCTCTCTCTTCACAATTTTACAGTCTTTATTCATATGTACTACACTCTTCAAAGGCATAAACAATAATTAAACTCTGGTGCACCTTAAAGGGGAAAAAACTAAAGCCATTAAGTTGCATAGCTATTCAAATTATTGCTCTTTTTTACAAAACCACCACAAGCCATCAAGAACTGGTTTTCTTCTTTCCTCTCACTCCAAACTTATAGGCTACTTTCCCAAAGAAGCTTTAAGGAGTTGCAGATATATCTATGGGACCCAAACTCTTAAATAAAAAGAAGGGATAAATAAGTTAAATAAATAGTATCTAATAAATAATGCAGATAGAAATTATTATCTACCAACATAAATGCTAGGCAAGTAACACTAAATTCTCAAAATAAAATAAGAGGATGACTCTATAAATATTTCTCTTTGCCTATTCAAGGTGTGTCGGGGAGGGAGTACTGTGGTGGTGTAGTTTAAGATCTCTACAAAATTTTAAAAATATTTATAAGCCAAAGGTGCAAAGTAGAGTAAGTGCTGCAGTAAGATGGACACAAAGCAAATTATAGTGTGAAAAAATAAACAAAAGCAATACAGAAGAAAGAAACAAATAGTTTGATAGATAAAATGGCATATTCATCTGTCATTAATATTGTTCAAATTTATTCCTATAGTTGTACCCCGACTCACTATCAAATAAGCTATTTATATTCTTGAGTTGGGCCTAAATAATTATTCTGGAAGATGGATCAGGATAGTAAAATTTCTCAGAGTGAATTTTCCTAGAAAAGAGAAACTTAGCAGAGCCAGTTTGGATACAAAGAAAAGAGATGTCACATAAAGAAAAATAAACTTTCTCCAGACTGATCAAAACCTGTGTTGAAGATACAAACTGGTAAAAGCATTCACTCTCCCTGAATCTTGATTCTCAATTCTAAGTCACTTCTCTTGAAATGTTTGCTATAATATATAGTAACATTATATCTTGGAATGAGGACAAGGTAATAGTCAGTGGGGGATGTAAAGTGAGGAGTTACATTTATGTTGTGAGAATTTAAGCTTGATTAGTGATTGTGGTTCTGGAATATATGATACTGGAGTGTACGGAGCTCTATGGTTTTAATCACTTTTCTTTAAACAGTGAAATTCATCATGTTTAAGAAAAATCCATGTTTTTCCAATGGCTAGGTGTTAGGCAGAGTCCCTTAATTTTTGCTAGCTGGTATGGCTATTTTATTACTCTACAATGTGAACTTGGCTGTGTTCTGATTCCAACAGAAACACCTGGACACTGGCAGAATTCCCACAGCCCTTTAGTCATTGAAGCTAAGAAATGAACTAGCTGATGTTTCTGTGTCCCATTGACCACAGAAGTCAGAGATTTCTTGTTCAACTCCTAGTACTAAGACAGTTGTTTTTTTTTAAATAGTATCAAGAGTAAAGTTTGTAGAAACAGAAGAAGGGGAGTAGATGGGGGAAGTAGAAGTGGATGGGGAGGAACTGGGAGGAGTAGAGGGAGGAGAAACTTCAGTTGAGATGAAAAATAAAATAAACAAACAAAAGCTAAATTCAAAATAAAAGAAAAAGAAGAAGAAAAGAAAATAATAAAGTTTGTGTGAGGCTTCTATCATGGTTCTGAAACCACTAAAAATGATGTGCATACCTTTCAGCACAGCGATAAATAGAACTAATCTCTTAAAGAACATACTTGGCTATTTACAGTAGTCAAGTTGTTGTATTAGGCTCTGGAAGTTATGTTTAGATAGATATAAAGATCTGTCAAATTCACACAAATTTTGTGTTCTGTGAGCCAACTGGCATGTACCTGATGCCACCTTCCAGTTCCATTTTATCATTACATTCATGCAATTTTCTTTTACTGCTTTTTAGCTTTAAGAAATTTCTAAGAAATGAAAAGTATGTGTTGACTTAGAACAGTTGCTTTATCTTTATCAGAAAGCAACAAACACTGGAGATGGAAAGTCACTTGGCATAGCATCCAATGAGTCTTTGGCACCATTGGATCAGGGCCTTGGTTTTCTGTGCTATTGCCATGTGAACATAAACCATCAAATATTTCCACTTGAGGATCCCAAATACAAGAATCGGTACAATGTGAGAGGTTAATGAGAAGGAAGTTGGTAGCAACAGGAGGTTCTGAATGGACTAGGGCCATTATGTTTTATGTATATCCAAAGGGTTCTTTAAAATTCTTTGAGGGTTTAACTCAGCCACTAGAAACATGGAAGATATCTCTACCTCATTCTCTGAAATGCTGGTGCTTATCTTACAGGCCTAATCAGTGAAGATTGTATTGAGCTGAGTTCCAATACCATGGTGGGGGTAGGAATCATAGGTCATGTCTACAGGAACATCATAGCGGGGAGTGCCAGCCTGAAAGGGAGTTGAATGCACATGCCCTGAACTTAGATTTGCAGAGGTATAATGTGGCATGAAGCTGTAGGATTTTTCCAACTCAGGAGAGCCATCTTGCTTCAAGGAGAAGTTGCCACTGATGCTCAGGGGTGGTGTGAGTGGACCCTCATAAGGGGGGGTACTGCAATCAGGTGGATGGCTCCCAAAAGAAGAGTCTCCCAAACTCTTAAGTGGTTGAGGCTTGAGATGGAGAAGATGTGTTTCCATATGGCCGTAAGGAGGGCTGGGGAGCCCTGGAGACTGGTAGTTGAAGCTGTGGACAGAGACAGTAGAGTCACAAATTGGAGATTTTTCCTCACGCTTCTCCAGGAGAGCAGACTGATGTCCTAGTTGGAGGCATCCAGCCACCAGATTGCTTGTAGGCTGAGAGAGCCCTTTACAGAGCATCTCTACAAATCCCTTCCCTTCAAGTGTCTGACCAGTCTCCAGGACTTCAGACAAGGCCCAGATGTAGTTCCTTGCCAGTCGAAGAGTCTCTATCTTGGAAAGTTTTTGGGTTTTAGAGTAACATGGCATGACCCTCCTAAGGTTATCCAAGGCATCATTCAGGCCATGCATCCGGGTCCGTTCTCTAGCATTGGCCTTGACTCTTCGAGCTCTGAACCTCTCCAGGCGAGCTTTGGTCATTTTCTTTTTCTTGGGACCTCTCCTTTTAGGTTTCTCTCCATCTTCTTCCTCTTCTTCCTCTTCTTCAATACTGTCATGCTCTTCAGTTAAAGTTCCAAGCATCCCATAAGAGCCTGATCTTCTCTCTTGCTCCTTCATCTCATTTTGAGAGCCTAGACCTTTGTCCATCCAGGATTGTGTGTTGACCAACTCCACCATATCCTTGGATTTCATGTACATTTTTGCCATTTATAGATTCTGGAAAAGGGAAATATAAAAAGTTAAACCCCCAAATACCTGATGGAAATGTAAACTGAGATCGGCATGATGGCACATGCCTAGGATCCTAGCCCTTGGGAGGTGGAGGTAGGAAGATCAGGAGTTCAAAGTCATATTTAACAGCATAGAAAGTTCGAGGCCAACCTGAGCTACATGAGACCCTGTCAAAAGATGCATAAACTTTGTTTTTATTTCATGGTTATAGAACACATTGTGTTGGGATCTAAATATTTCATAATTTCCTTGCCCATTTGCCATTTTAAATTAAGCCAAGGTTCAAAGAATTGCCCTAGACATACATCTCTTTACAGCACACTGCAAGAAAAACTAGCATAAAAGAAAAAATTGAATACTCATTGGGGTGCTAGAGTCTGACTTTCTATTCTCATATTATTTATCTTATGGGCATTTTACATAAAATAACACTAGTAAAATTCCAAGCACATATTCTTTCTTTTGTAAATTTATAACATAAAGGGAAATAGGTGAACATATAAATTATTACCCTAATTAAAAAACACGGGACAGCTAACGCAATCCTGTACAATAAAAGAACATCCAGAGGTATTACCATCCCTGATTTCAAACTGTACTACAGTGATATAATAATAAAAACTGCATGATGTTGACATAAAAACAGACAGGTTGATCAATGGAATTGAATCAAAGGTCTAAATGTAAATCCACACACCTATGGACACAGCTGATTTTTCATTAAAAAAAAAACAAAGCCAGAAAGACACAATAGAAAAAAAGAAAGTGCATGTTTAACAAATTGTGCTGCTCTAACAGGATGTCTGCTCGTAGAAGAATGCAAATAGATCCATATCTATCACCTTATACAAAACTCAAGTCCAAGTGGATCAAAGACCTCAACCTAAAACCAAATACACTGAACCTGATAGAAGAGAAAGTGGGAAAAAGCCTTGAATGCATAGGCACAGGAGATGACTTCTTGAACAGAACACTGATAACACAGACATTAATTTCAACAATTAACAAATGGGACTTCATGAAACTGAAAAGCTTCTGTAAGACAAAGGACACCATTGATAGGTCAAAACAGAAGCCTTCAGAATGGAAAAAGATTTTCACCAATTCAATATCCAACAGAAGGCCAGTATCCAAAATATATAAAGAACTCAAGAAACTAGACATCAGCAAACTAAATAATCCCATTAAAAATGAGGTACAGATATAAATAGAGAATTCTCAATAGAAGAACCTGAAATGGCTAAGAAACACTTAAAGAAATGTAAATGCAAATCAAAATGACTTTGAGATGCCATCTTACATCTGTCAGATTGGTTAAGAGCAATAACACAAGTGACAGCTCATACTGGAGTGGATGTGAAGCAAGAAGAACACCCCTCCATTGCTGATGGAAGTGCAAACTTGTATAGCCACTATGGAAATTAATATGGCAATTCCTCAGAATATTGGAAATTGATCTAGCTCAAGACCCACCTATACCATACCACTCTTTGGCATAAACCCAAAGGACATTTCATCCTATCACAAGGACACTTGCTCAACTGTGCTTATAATAGCTGTATTAATAATAACCAGAAATTGTAAACAACCTAAATGTCCATCAACTGAAGAATGGATAAAGAAAATGTGATATATTTACACAATGGAGTATTACTCAGCTGTTAAAACACATGACATCATGAAATTTTCAGGCAAATAGACAGAACTAGAAAAAAAAATATCTTGAGTGAGGTAATCCAGACCCAGAAAGACAAACATAATATATACTCACTTATAAGCAGATATTAGCTATTAAGGATAATCACACTATAGTCCACAAATCCAAAGAGCCTAATTAACAGGAGGGCTCAAGGGGAGAAGGGGATACAGGGGTCTCTCTGGAAAGGGGAAATAGGATAGACTTCATTGATGGATGGAAAAAGGAGGGATCAGGCAGGATGTGGGGTAAGGATGAAGGGAGAAAGTACTGGGAGAGACTGAAATTGAGGGGCATGGGGGAGCCTTGTGGAAACCTAATACAGTGGAAACTCCCTGGAATCTATGAGGGAGACCCTAGCAAAGACTTCTGTTAATGGGAATATGGACCCTGAACCGACCATCTTCTGTAACCAGCAAGGCTTGGTTACAGTGGTGGAACTTGGACATCAACTCCACCACAAAACCTCCAGCCTACAATTTGTTTTGCCTACAAGATGGGCTGGGTCAGTGGTGGTGCAGAACTTTTAGGAGTGGCCATTTAATGACTGGTCCAACTTGAGGCCCATGCCACAAGAGGTAGTCCACACTGGACACTGCCTGAATGGCCGAGAACCAGAGACTAGATAGCCCAGAGACCTAAGAACCAAACACAACTAGAAAAAAAAGTGAATGAAATGATTCCTAATAATATTCTGCTATATTCACAGATCGGTGCCTAACCAACCATCAGGCTTCATTCATACAGCAAATGATGAGAACAGATGCAGAGACTCACAGCCAAACTTTAGGCAGAGCTTGTTAAATACCACAGAAGAGGGGGAAGAAGGATTATAGGCATCAGAGTGTCCTAGAACAGTAGGAGAACATGACCCACAGAATCAACTAATTAGGGCTCGTAGGGGCTCACAGAGACTGAAGCAACCATCACAGAGCCTGAATGGGTCTGAGCTAGGTTCTCTGCAAATATGTAATGGCTGTGTGTTGTGGTGCTGTTGTGAGACTCCTAGCAGTAAGACTGGGAGGTATGCCTGCTCTTGGGACCTTTTACTTCCTACTGGACTGTCTTGCCCAGACTTGATATAAGTGTTTGTGCCTAGTCTTATTGTAACTTATTGTCACCCACAATAAAATGTATGTTGAACAGTTAAGCAAGTGAACTGTTCGAGTTTCTACCGTAAAATAGATGAAAAGCTATAGCAAGATCATCAAGATTACCTTCCTGTGTTCTCTTGAGATGTTTCATAAGCATCTAACTTGTACAATCCTGTGATCCCCACTGACTCTGCCAACAGGTGACTTCAAGCACCTCCTATGAAACAACACCATAGCTGGCCTGCTTCATGTCCAGAAGAGCATTGCGTTTCTTCATAAGCACCCTGTGTTCTCTCAGGGGTATGGAATGTTATATATTCTAGTGACACAGTGTCTTGAAAGGGCCATGAAGAAAAGCTGCCACTTGTCATCTATCAAATATGCCCACGTACTGACAACTCTTTCCTTTGCACATGCATCTTACACCATCAGAAAAGACTCTGGCAACAGATAGAAGCAAAAGTCAGTGATCTATCAAACCTATTCAAGATTGTTTTAATGAAACAGTCAGAAAACGCTTTATTAAAAATGAAAAAATGGAACAAATATAAAACAAAAGAGAATATAGTGACTGTGAACATACCATGGGCTATTTTTGGTAAACAAAGTAAAAGCCTAAGCACTTCGGTTCACTTGCTTAACAGATACTGTTTGATATGGTTTATATGCAAATTTGATTTAGTTAAACATCTTGTATTCAATATTACAAGAGTTTGAATTGTTTTCAGATCATTTGAGTCATTTCTAGGTATACAGTTTACCAGATAAAAGAATCTGAAAACAACCCCTCTAGCACATCCCAGTTTACTAGTTAGTCCTTGAAACATTAAACTCTCCATCACCTTTCATTATGAGAAAGGGAAAAACATGATAACATGCCTTTTGATCCTTGAAGCTGGAGTCTCCAGTCAATGAATTCAGGGATTAGTACATGGAGTTTACAAAAATATAAATATATGATTTGAATTGTTTCTGGTAATTGGAGCTTGTTTTCATTGTAACCTCATTTACCTCCTATAAATAATTAATGCTACTGCATTGCGAAAACAGCCTAGGTTTCATATTAATCAGCAAGGAAATCATGTCAGCTTGACTTACTCACTTAATAAGGCTTCCTGGGTAAGCAGCTTTATTGAAAACACACATTGGAACCTATTGGTCAACTGGCTGCCCAGGCCAAGTCAGAAAATCCCACTTTTAATATGGATGATGGAGCTTGTGTGCTGAGCTGCACTTCTAACTCAGGCAAATATCCAGAGGGCGGGGGAAGGACCTAATTAACTTTCCGTTAAAGTAACACAGATCTTCCAAAGGCAGGTGCATGCTGAGACCAAAAAGGGCTGGGTGGGTTTGGGAAACCTAATGATCTCTGTGTAATTACAATAGCATTTGTGTAGCATTCTAAAGTTTGCAGCACATTTGCACTCATTAACCTATATATTCCATAGAACACACTGTTGCGGGTGATGAGTAAAGCCCTGTTCACTTTATAGTTAGCAATATCATGGGGCCAGTCTTTTAAATGATGGACATGTAAAGACAGTGTAACAGGACTTAAAAAACATTTCTGATCTCAAATCCTAGACTTTACAGCCCTTTTCCTCATTTTTTTTCTTCCATCATAACTAAAGAAAAAAGCCATTTTTACTTTGGCAAATGTAGATCAGTAGAACTAAGTCAACAGGCATGACCATTATCCAATGAAGGCTGGCTTAAATGTTCTCTGAGGCAGCTTTTAACTCACATTCCTGGATTCATTCCTCTCCCAAAGGCTTTCTTTGCTGCTTTTGAGTACTCATTCTACCCCTCTTCTCTCCTGTACCCTTTTCCTTTTTTCCCATCTTCATTAGCATGTTTGCACCGTGTCATGTGCATGGAGAGGACAGCCTCACGTCCCACTGGGATCCGAGTACTGCTCTCATGTCTGTATTTGGCTTTCCTCACTATCAGCTCCCTGTGTCTCCTAACGCTTGCTTGATCTTGATAGATGTGTCAGTAGGCACCCTACCAGGAATTAGATTTGAAAAATAAAATTGATCAAGCTTTGTCTTTAACATATTTGGTGATTTTAGGAAGCTGTTTATAATCATACTGTTGGTAGGTATAAAGGAAAATAACTCACTGGATTTGGCCAAACAATGTGAAACAAAACAAAGCAGTGAAATTTCACCTCTCTTCTTTTCCTAACTATGAGAAGAACAGGGGTAGTTCTGGTTCAGTTTCCTCTGTTCCCATATGTACTGGTCCAGTAGCTCTAAGATAGTTGTGTGGGTATATAAATGTGGCTTTAAGGATGACTAGAAAAGTATGGATGGAACTCTAGCCCAATAGTTTCAATTCCTGATTTCTAATCCCAGTTTTATTTACTAGATTCATCTTGATAATATAAAGATAAGATATATTTTATATTCTTCTCATAAGACAAAGTCATGGCAAAGGTTTGTAAAACAATATCCATGTATTTATTTTTGAAAATTTAAAAGTCTAACCCATTCTTTCATTTGTTTTCTTCATGCAAAATTAAATTTTCCCACAGATAAATAAATAAAATATACTGTATCTGTTAGTGTCTCTTATTATCTGAATGCACCTCACCTGATTGGTACAAAAGTAAGTCTGGTAACTACCCAATAGTCTGCCCTTCTCAGTTGGATTAAAGAGCACACACTCTGGAATCAGATTGACTGGGCCTAAATTTCAATTTTACTACTTAATAGATCTGTGACTTAGACTATTATCTGCCTTAATGTTCTCCTCTTTAAGTGGGAATAATAATAGACCTAACTCACAGGTTATTCTCAGCATAAAATGAGTTGATGTATTTAAACAATTGTTCCAGGTGTCACAAATTCAGCAGAAGTGTGAGATATGACTACTCCTAATATCATGAGTCACAGTGACAATAGTCGGGACATACAATTATAATCTATGTTTAATGTTAATTTCATGACCATAAAAGTCAGTAGTCTATTTTAGTTTTTGTTTAAAATTGTTTGAAAAATTAGTACTTTACCTGTGTGCTAATGAAGCTAACTATCAAAGGTCCTGTGGAACTAAAAGGGATGAATGAATATACCAAACTCTATCAAATGCATCTACAGTCAGACATGAAATTAGCTTCCAAATTTTCATTCTGTTTGTATTTGTGGAGATGAGAGAAGGAAAGTGAAAGAGAAAAGATTCTCTCTCATGAAGACATTTGACTTGACATTCATTCTTAGTTACATTTTCATAAAGTTTCTGGTGGAATGCATACACACTCATCTATTCAGACCTTTTTATCTTTGGTTTACAATATGAAGGATGCAACTTCTCCACAAGCTCCAGGGAAAAGGTGAAGTATCTCACAAACAGAAGTAAAAGCCAGAACTCTCCAAAGATGAAATGTACTTTCTAATTTTCTACCTTTAATACTCTCAAAGCATCACAAGATTGACAAAGACAAATGACTCAGTTTCAGATCTGAGTGTTTAAAATGTGTGATGCACTCCTGATTTTTTTTTAGGAATAAAACTTAAGTGGACTCTCTTCAGAGCAAGGAACTAAATCCAATGTGGCCTTTATCCTGTTAACATGCCATCTCAGAGGTATTCTGAAAGAAACATGAAAGTAAGATGTTTTCTTGTCACTGAAGTATGAGATGAAAAATTGTCTTAATATTTTGTAGGTATTGTATGGATATGAAAAGATATGGTACTACCTTATAGAACATAGGGATAAATCATGTCAAGTTTCTCTGAATTTCTAGAACAGAAGTTAGTTTTCAAAATATACAGGAAATAGATGCCAATGTGAATACTAGTTTTTGAATACAGAGTTCTATCCTTCAACTTGTGCAAATATATTCTGATCTTATAAAGTCCATTTTAGTACTTGGTATTGGTATTTGGATTTCCCCCATAAACTTGAATAGTGTTACAGGATCTTCCTATTTATTTCCTTCAATAAAACTTCAATTTTGAGTTATTTTCTCTATTTAAAAATTTTACTCTCTTTTTTTCACTTTGAACCTCTTTTGAAAAAAAGTACTTGCCACAGACAATTTTAACTGCATACTGTCTTGGCTAATGAGACCACAGGTATTGTGCACTTCTACTATGCAAAGCTGTTGTGGAATTTTTCCTATATCTTTACTAATCTTCATTTACTTTGGAGAAGTTTCAAGTAAAGGGTGAGTATAAAGTATTTACCTGTGTGTTTGTGGCAGGCTGGCCAGTGTCTTTCCCTTAAAAAAAAAAAAAAAAAAAAAAAAAAAAAAAAAAAAAAAAAAAAAAAACAATGGTACTTGATTACCTCTTGATTCTGTGACTCCAAATACAACAGGCAGCAACTATGCAGGCTAATTTTTAGAGAATCTAAGGACCACATAAACCGAATGTTTTGCTCATAGCTACAGAGCCTGCAATGAAGAAACAAACAAAACACAAACCAAGGTGTTCACAAATGGCACTGCATGGAAACAATGAGTAGGCTGGAGGGTTCTTCATAGCCAAGCTATCTACAACTACAATTACCCATTGACTAGTAACTATGCATGTGCTCACTCTCTCTTACACACACACACACACACACACACACACACACACACACACACACCACATACACAGAAAGAAGGGGAACAAGGCCATACTGTACTTCATTCAGTCCCACAGCCTCAGACCATAATAGTGAGCTTCCTTAGCAGTATTTAAACAATTATCCAATTTTCCCTCCATGTTCTTCACTATGTTAGAAACTAAGGTGGAGTCATTTGCATTTGTTAGTATTTCTTGAATATATTTTTGGTGGGAAAGTAATGAGTATATGGCAGAAGAGGAAAGATACACTTGGACAATCATTTTCTTCTAATTTACAGTCTCAAATAGCTGGGGGGGAATACATTTCCCACTCAATTCAAACCATTCAAGAACTTTTGGCAAAGCAAATGGCGACAGTGATGAGAATCTTTGCTTATGATCTCTCAAGATCTCCCTCTACTTAATTGATTTACATTCCTCTTCCTCTCCCTGCACTCTTTGCCTAGACCTGGAGGTTTGTCGGCAGAGCACTGAATTGGGCCAGTTCTTCAAACTGCTTGCTAAACCACTTTAGGAAAATAGCTAAACTTTTGCAGCTTTTTAAAAGCATCAGCAAGATGGAAGGTTGGGCTTCATGGTGACAGAGGAGTTGTCAGCAACCTCTTCTCTTCCGAATCTGTGGGAGCTTCACACAGAAACTTTAGTACCCGCACCCCACCCATGGCTCACCTTAGGCAGTGGAGTTCCAAGATTAAACTCTAACCTGTGTTCTGGAGGACAGTCAGAGCAGCCAAGTCCACTCTAACCAGGCAGATCGTGGGAAGCAGGGGATGCTTTCAGCCATCCATGTAAGCCGGTAGCTACCTCCTAGTGCTTGCTCCTAGTCTGGGTACCCTGGCTGTTACTTAGTCTATCCACTCCTTCCTGAAGTTCTGATGCACTACCAGGACGCCCTCAGGCTGGTGCCTTCACTAAAGCTGTTTTCCTAAGTGTCTTCAGTACCTCCTTTCCCGGGTTAGCTCCCTTGAGTAGCTCTTTCAGGACCACAGTCTCTGGGCAGCTCCTGTGATCTGACTGGAGCTTCTGACTTGCAGCAGTTTTGATGGCTCTGGCAGCTGACCAGGGCGGGGTGATGTTGCCCACAGGCTAGCCCCTCCCCTCCCTAGCCTAAAGACCCACCTCCTTCCCAAGGCTCCTCTGACGAGGTCCAGCTTTGCCACTGCGTGTTTGTTTTTTGTTTAAATCAGGAAGGGGCTGGAGGAGGAGAGCTGCTGAAGTTAAGGCGTGAAAACCAAGAGAACTGAAAAGGCTTGTGGTTAGAAAGGTACAAGGCTCTGTTCAGCCGAGAAGGCTGAACAGAATGGGGTCAAAAAACTGGAGACAGACTTGGAGAGAAAGCTGGAAGGGTGGGTGAGGCTGCTGGCCCAAACCTAAAAAGAATCAAAACGTGAGAAAACTGCACAGCAAGGACACAATGCTAGTGAGCGTACTATCTTGCATGGGAGATTGTTGGTTTTTTTGCTGTTTTCTCAGAGAATTTTGTTTTTTGCTTTTTGGATGAATTATTTTGCTTTTTGTTTGTTTATTTTGTTTTGTTTTGGTGGTGGTGGTAACAGCATTTGAATCTGGTGTCTTATAGATGCTAAGCAAGCACTTTACCACTAAGCTACATCCCCTGCTTTTTTATTCAGAGTTTTAAGTGTAAAAAGAGGAAGTCTCTGTCTCCCTTTTCACCATAACAAACATATTCCTGTTATAACTATATTTGATGTCATGTGACATTTATGAAAACAAAAGCAAATGTGCAAACTCTTGAAGTTCTGACTCCGAAAGATAGTTTTATTACCCTTGTAATTAAAGATTATCTTGTTTGAAATAGTTAATATTTAGAACTCTGACATAGGTATTTTGTGACTCTTGGCCTCTTTAGAAAACTAGAGAATAGAACCCCCACCCCACCCCGCCCCAGTTTTTATAGGCAACCAATAATTTTCAGCAAATCTTTAAGGTCTCAATAATCTTTTTGTTTCCTTATCCAGGAACTATCTACTCAGCAAAATAAAGTTTGCTTTTGGGGGAATTAAGCAATGCATGATAGATATGGTAAATTTCTGGAAAACATCAGAATTTATTCTTCAGTCAGATGACGGTTATGTATGAGACAGTTTGCATCTAGATAGAGCAGCTTAATAATTTCTAGATGAGTGCTTATTAGATGGGTTGATCCCCTGATTTGTGTCTTTAAAGCCACATCCCTGGATATTAAAAAGTTGTTGTTGGATGTGGCACCCTGCCTGTGAGATTTACTGTGGGAGGGAGGAGTGGAATATTAGCAAAAAGGTGAACATATTGAGACAAAGATGAGGGTGGAGATGGGACATTGTTCCCAGACCCCTTGTTTCTTCTGACAGATGTAAGGAATTGAACATAAGAGGATTAGCTCACAAAATGCATTCAATTGTGTGTGTGCACGTGTGGTGTGTGTATGTGCATGTGCATACTCCTCTAGTGGCAGAGAAAGCTTTGGACGCTGAATTTTCTTTAAGAGCTGCTTTTTTTTTTTTTTTTTTAAGAAAAGTAGGTGGAATTCATTTCATTGGGGTTACTCTCAAAACTCCTTGACAGTTGTGGGGTTGGCTATTGAACTCTGAAAGGGCAGGAAGGGGCAGGAAGGGTGTGCAACCAGCAAAGAGAAGGGGGTGGTGACTGCCTTAGGAAAAGAAAATGAAGGACATTTGCATTCATTCTCCTCCCCCACATGTTTCCTAGGCCAGAGGGCCAGTCCACAGCCCTTCCCTCTTTCTCTATTGCTTTTTTTGTAAAGCTCTGAACTAACCTGTGAGAACCATCTGCTGAGTAGGGAAAAGGAGACCAGACCAGCACTCAGTTGCTGGCCCACAGGCCTGACACTAGAAGCCATTGAAGCAGAGAAAAGGGAGGCAACAGGCAGATTTATGGGCAACAATCTGTTACACCCCACCCCCAGGCCCCTCTGCCAGGAGACAGACTGATAATCCATCAACCCCACTAATGAATTAATTAGTATTCCCAGTAATCCTGACCCCCAAAGGAGACCTGCCTGTAGGCCTGTAAGTGGAGTAAAAACTGCCTTCTGCAACCAGACACTGAAGAAGTGGGACTAATGTCTGACATTGGCCCTAGGGCACTGGGCTGTAAGCCACAGACACTGTTGGTAACTGTCCCCAGATGTCCCTTCTTCTCATCTTCCCTCGGGAGACCACTTGCCTTTGCTGAATTAAACCACTACGTCCAAACAAATGGGGTCTAGAGGCATAAATCAGGAACTATAGAAAGTGGGAAACTGAGCTTCAGGAAAGAAATTGCTGGGCTGCTTATATTCACAGTAAAACTTGAGCAGATCCTAAGCCTGCTCCACAAGAATTACCTGGGATGCGGGAAAGCAATAGGGCAGGGCATGAGTTGAGGAGAAAGCAAAGGAGGCAGACTCTGATCTAAGGAAGCTCAGTGTTCAAGTAGCAAAGTGATAAGAGTCAAAATTAATTGTGAAATGGCTTTAAACTAAGTGATTTATGACTTGAGATATTCCTGAATATGGACTGAAGCAAAATATAAAGACACTGAATGAAAAAAGAAATAAAAAGGAAAGGAAACATGACTGCTCCTAGGTATGGTAGAGGAGGAAGTTCATTGTAGAGCATATCCAGGAGTAGAGACATCTGGGAGAATCCAGAGACCTGACCCTGAGCCATGTGAGGTGAAGAAGGGAGAGATAAGAGAGGGGGACCAGGTACAGCAGCCAGGAAGCCCAAAGAGTAGACAAAAAGGGGCAGATAACCAAAATGGTTGGATTATATCTGGAAGGGCAGATTGGGGGAGGGCAGCCCAGCCCTTGGGCTGGAGAAGTTTAAGGTAGGGCTTAGGGTATGGCAGCCAGGAAGGTCCTGTAACAGATAGGGACTAAAGAATTGTAGGGAGAACCTGGTGGCCAGGTCTGCTTTAATATGTTGAATAGGCATCTCAGTCATTTGTCACAGGTTTGAAATCTAACTGACACCAGCTGAGTTCTAAGAGTCTGTGGAGAATGAAATCAGAGAGATTCATCACCCCTCTTTACAACCACAAAACCCTTCATTCTTCTCACAAACGGAATGCAATGGAGTGAGAAAATAAAAGTTTTGGAGTAGGTAAACTTGTGTTATAGGACCTTAATCTAGGACCAGACCCCATTTGTTTGGCAATATTAGCTTTAATTCAATAAAGCATGTGAGCTCTCCAGGATATTGGTGAGCAGTGGTCTAATGACTCAGGCATAGTGTTCCCCATAGTCAAAGATCAGGATGGGTCTGGATCTCTGATCTCTAATGTCTCATGTTCTTTCTACCTCTAACATTCAATAATGGCAACATGGTTAAATGTCACAGTCATCTTTTGAAGCTAAATAATTCAAAGGCCTTCAGGTGTGAACAAAGTACCAACACTGGTTAGAGACCAGGTCATAAGCATTAGTGTGGGTGTTCTCCACCTGTGTAATTGGTAATTTACTTCAATTTCCCTCTATTCCATTCACTCAGAGTCCGTGCATGTGAGCATTTACAGTGTGCATCATTCCAGCTACCTAGCATTATCCACATTTGCTTCAATCTGCTTGACAACTCTCTTTTAAAATCCTCTGCTTTAGCCTTCTTGGCAATTGCTGTTCCCAAAAGTCCTCTAGGATTCATTGAATCTTATCGCTACTATTTACTAATGATGGGACGTCAGGCAGCTTATTTGCTTCTTTACTCCTAAGTCCTACCATGTGTAATTGGAGGTAATAAGGCTTGGCTAATGAATTTGCTCTGAAGAGTAAAAACAAATAACAGATGGTTAGTTTGCTAAGTTCTTAGTATAATGTCTGACACTTAGCAAGAGACCAGTAAAAGCTACTTACTGGTATTTTATCTTAAACACTAGATTCTGATCTTTTATTCCCTAGAGACCAAAGAAGAGCTAATATCAGGATCTCCTTTTACAAGTTCTGTTTCTGTATTTGTGTTACAACAATAATCACACCATATTAATTTATCTAGTAACTATGTTTTATGCAGACTTGCCTAAAGGTCAAACTGATGGAGGTCTTTTCAAATTTGAGCTTCCATCTTCCCAGATGACTTTAGCTTGTGTCAAGTTGACAAAAAGCTAACTAGACAGCACTCTCAATTTTTAAACTATACAAATGTATATTAGATTATATATAATTTATAGGTACATAAACAACTTGTATAACAGCACATCTTTATATGAGGATATCTCTGTTACAGCATAGACTTTTAGATAAGTAGTCACCAAAAAAGATTGTTTTCCATTTGCATACATATAGACTAGTCATTTGTAAATTGCAATGGTAAAATTGGTTTTGGAACATAAAATGTGCTGGCTTTAAAATGCCATTTTCTATTGTATTAGTTACTTTTCTAATTGTTGTAAAAACATCCCTGACAGAAGCAACTACAGGAAAGAAGGGTTTGTTTTGGCTCACAGTTTGAGGGTACAGTCCATCATCATGTGGACATCATGTGGCAAGAGTCTGAGCTATCTGTTCACATTGCATCTACCATTAGAAGGCAGAGAGAGATGAATGCTTGTATTCAAGTCTCTTTCTTTTATTTTTTCCCTCTTTTCTGCAGTTCAGGGCTTGTATCATGAAATGGTGTTACCCACATCCAAGGTGTCTTGCTCTGTTAAACTGTTTGACTAACATGCTCATTCATATACCTAGAGGCTTGTTTCTGTGGTGATCTTAAACTGTATCAAGTTGATAATCCAGGTGAACAATAGAATCTACTCATTAGTTCCCACCAACTCCACCCTGCTCTTCTCAGTCCCAGGAATATCTGCCAAGTCTTTTTTTTTTTCATTTATCAGACAAAATGTATTTATAGTCCATAAATATGAACCACACATATGACTGTCTTTCTTGTTAAGATTAACTTTTACTCCCACAGAGCTGTAAAATTACACTATTAAACAAAGACAAGCAAAGATGTATTCCCCCAGTTGT